AGATGAGTGCCTCCAGTGCTGCCTCACTTTCTTGAAAGATTTCAATTTTTATTCCATCAATTCCTGTTTCCTTGTTCTTTGCCAATGCCTCCAATGCACCTTGGATTTCTTCCCTCAGTATCGTTGGCTCTTGATCATATGCTACCTCTTGAAACAGTTAAACATCAACCATTTCCTTTTGGTACAGTGACTCTGTGTGTTCTTTCCATCTTCTTTTGATGCTTTCTGCATCATTCAATAATTTGCCCAGAGGTCCTTCAAATACAAAAGTCGAGGCTTGAATTTGTTTCTTCTGTTCCCCCAGCTTGAGAAATGCTGAGCATGTTCTTCCCTTTTGGTTTTCTGACTTCAGATTTTTGCACATTTCATTGTAATATTTGACTTTGCCTTCTTGAGCTGGCTTTTGAAATTTTCTGTTAAACTCTTGTACCTCCTCATTTCATCCATTTGCTTTAGCATCTCTATATTGGAGAGCAAGTTTCAGTGTCTCTTCTGATATCCATTTTGATCTTTTCCTTCTTTCTTGTCTTCTTAATGACTTTTTGCTTTCTTCATGTATGATGTTCTTGATGTCATCCCACAACTCTTCTGGTCTTTGGTCTTTAGGGTTTAACGTATCAAATCTGTTCTTCAGATGATCTCTAAATTCAGGTGGGATATATTCAAGGTCATAATTTAGCTCTCGTGGAGTTGTTTTCATTTTCTTCAGCTTCACTTTGAATTTGCACATGAACAATTGATGGTCTGTTCCACAATCTTCCCCTGGCCTTGTATTATTGTGACATATGTGATAATTTACATTGGAGAACATTAGCTTTACATTCATTTTATCTTATTTCGTGTCATTGCAGTGATTATAATTCCTTGCCTGGATCATCAAACAGCCAAAAGGTACACCCCGCAAGCCTGCACCCTGCCTGTCAACACATAGCCCCTCTCCTTCCCAGAGTACAGAGTCTCCAGCTGCTCCATCTCTCCATGTCATCATCTCTACCTCCATCTCTGGTGTCACTGCTTCTCCTGATAGGGTCCCCTAATCCACTCTTCTCCCTTGATGGTCCCAGGGTCCTACACTCATGGACTGCAAGATCAGGCACTCCCTCTTTTTGTTACAAATCATCTACCTTTACATTTGCAACACTCACAAGCACTCTGATAACAATTATTCACTATTGAATCACAAGAGTCTTATCCCCATCTCTTTTCACCAGCCCCATCCAGACAGGTTGGAAACCACTCAGTGAAGATTCTA